AGGAACTTCCTCCAGGTTTCCCACATGGGTGCAGGGTCCCAAGACTTTGGACCGTCCTCGACTGCTTCCCAGGCCACAAGCAGGGAGGTGGAAGGGAAGTGGAGCAGCCAGGATTAGAACTGGCCCCCATATGGGATCCCTAGAGTACAAGGCTAGGACTTTAGCCACCATGCTACCCTGCTGGGCCCTCTCCTTGGGGAACTTCTAAAGGCTGCTGATACTCAAGCCCTAAAGAGAATCCTTGGCATTGGGCCCTGGCAATCATGATTTTCAAAAGCTCCTTAGGAGGCAGAGCCAGGGCAAGATGATGACTGAATAAGATGCTCTAGTGATCTCTGCACACAACACATATTTGAATTGCTGCTTACGCATGAGCCGCCTTCATAGAAGCCAGAGTGAAACACCAAAGGAAAGACACAAAGATGGTGAGGGGAAAACAGCTGTCAGGGCATCCCATCATACACCAAAGATGGCAGGGATAGGGGACAAACAGCTGTCAAGCCATCCCGCCCTAAATCCAAGCAGTATCCTAGGTTGCCCACCTGGGTGAGGGAGAAGAAGTTAAGTCCAGACCTCAGTCTTAGAACCTAGCATAGGCCTGCCACTCTCCCCACCCCCGCCCCCAGGGCAGTGCCTGTAGACTGATCCTAGATCCTTCTTTGCCATTACGCTGCCCTGTTACCTCTGGCTAACAGGAGAGCAAGACTCCAGCTGCCAGGAAGTAGGGTGGGAGAGCCAGTACAGACATTTCCTATGGAGCCACAGTAAAATCAGCTCCAGATCCAGCCCAAAGGCCCAGACCAGTGCTCAAAGAGCAAACCTTTAGCAGTTCGCTCCAAATACACCAACTACAGATCTGGGACAGTTCCAGGCTGGGGCACTCTCTGGTGTTGGAATAGCCATGCCACAACAGCTGACTGTGGCACACCTTGACTTAGGGCCCCATCTAGTGCTTACGTAGTGGAAGTGTCCACAGGCTCAGAGAAAATTCAAACGGACTGCTTACAAAGGCAACAGTGTGAAGATATCAAATGCCAACAGTGACAAAAATTTCAGTGCAGTCTGACCTTAGCTAACAAACAAAATAAGGTGTAAGAAACTGATCAGCCAGCAACTAACACATGCAGATGCTCAGATGTCCTATTCAGACTCAACAGATAAATGAAAACCCAGACACAATTAATGACTCTGAGACACTCAGAATACAGAAGAAACTTAAAACAAATCAAAGTCTTGAACTGAAAAGCATACCAAGTGAAGTTAAAAATCTGACAGGCAGCAGGCATTGAACCTGGCAGTGGAGAGGCCTGTGTCCCACCCTGGAAGGTCAGGATGTGACTGCTAGTAGAGCTCCTGTCAGCACAGACCCGGGAGGCAGCAGCAATGACTCATGTGATTGCATTCATGTGTATCTGGGGATGGATCCAGTGGATCAGTGCTCACTCTGTCTCTCATCCCCTCCACTCCAACCTGGCTATCAAATTAAAAAAGTAACCGAAGGCATCAATAGCAGAATAGAACAAATGCAAACAATTAGTCAACTCAAAGATAGGTTATTTGAAAATACACAGAAAAGAAAGAAGATGGTGAAAGGTTATGGGAACTGTGGGACATTATCCAAGTTACTGGGGCTGAAGAGGTACTAGAGTGGAACAAGGAGGTGGCAAGCATGTTCAAAGAGATAAATAACAGAAAACATCCCAAATCTCAAGGAAGACACAATTATCCAGATACAAGAAAATCAGATGTCACCAGTTACATTCAGCTCAACTAAGTCTGCCCCAAGAATATTGACCTCTCCAAGGTTAAAGATAAAGAGAGGATTTGCAAAGATGCAAGAGAAATGAAACAAGTGGCACCTAAGGGTGTCCCAATTCATTTTCACTTGATTTCAGACTTATAGGCCAGGAGAGAGTGGGAGCAGACTTTCTAATACTGAAGGAAACAAAACGAAACAACAGAGAATACTGTACCCAGCAAAGCAATTCTGTAAACATGAGTGACAGATGGACAAATTCCCACACAGGTAGAGGTGGGAGCCTGTTGTCACTAGACTTGCTCTGCAGGCTATGCTAACAGGAGTGTCTTAAATTCACAGGTAGCCATGCTAACAAGCGCAAAGAAAGTACCAGAATACAGAGAATCTGCTGAAAAGAGAGCCTAAAATTTACCCACTTCTACAACTCGATCTTTCACAAAGATGGTGAGAATACACTTTGGAGAAAGCTGCAATGTTTTCAATAAGCATTGTTAGAAAATTAGATATTCCAATGCAGAAGAATGAAACTACAGCTCTATCACTATATACAAAAATCAACTCAGAATAAAGATCTAAACATGAGCCAGGAACTACAAAGCTATTAAAAGAACACTTAAGGACCTGGTGTGGTAGTCTAGTGGCTAGGGTCCTCACTTTGCATGCACCAGGATCCCAAATGGGTGCCAGTTCTAGCCCCAGTTATTCCACTTCCCATCCAACACCTTGCTTGTGGCCTGGTAGGCAGTTGGGCGTGGTTTAAAATCTTGGGACCCTATACCCATGTGGGAGACCTGGAAGAAGCTCCTGGATTCTGGCTTCGGACTGGTTCAGCTCTGGCTGTTGCAGCCACTTGGGGAGTGAACTAGTGATTGGAAGACCTGTCTTTCCTTCCAATAAAAATAAATAAATAAAAGAACACTTAGAGAGAAATGCTTCAGGAAACTGGAATGGGCAATGATTTTATGCACCAGGACTCAGAGGCACAGGAAACAGACAGGCTTTCATCAAGTGACAATGCTCTTGCACACACACACACACAAAATAAAAACAAAGATCAAAAGAAAAGAATGAAGAGAGGAAATGTTTGAAAATGACATTATCTTTCAAGGTGTTAAGTAACTGAATAGATAGGTAGGAATTGAACAGCAAGAAACAAATCTGCTAAGGATAATACGGATGACAAATTTAAATAGACATGTGTCCAAGGCATGCACAGAAAGGGCCAACAGGGACACAACAAAATGCTTACCATCAACAGTAATCAGGGAAATGCAAGTGAAAACAACAGTATCTATTTTACCTTCACTAGAATGGCTACTTTAAAAAAGAAAAAAGATTAAAAAAAAAAAAAAGGCTGGTGAGGATGTGGAGAAAAGAAAAGGGAACCTTTAGGTACTACGGGTGAGGATGTAAATGTAAATTAGCATAACCGTTGTGAAAAAACAGCAGGGAGATTTCTTAAAAAATTAACAAAATGGATCTGCCATATGATCCAAGATTTCCATTACTGAACATCTAGCCAAAGGAAATGAAATACATCTCTCAGAGACATTATCAACTGCCATGCTTACTGCAGCACCATTCACACTGGCCGAGCACGGAGTCACCTTCGTATCCATCCATCCATGAGCAGATGGTACATGTACATGGTGTAGCACTACATGGCCCTAAGGAGGGACGAAATCTTGTCATTCACAGAAACATGGAAGTTGTGATGGTAAGTGAAATGATCCAGACGCAGAAGGACAAGTCCTGCACCTGAACAGAGCAGGGGGAAGGAGAGAGGGAGGAGAGGTCGATGAAGAGCTCCAGAGTTACAGGTAGATGGAAGAAAGAATTCTGGTGTCCCAGCGCATGGTAGGATGATTTAGGTAACAATAACATGCTGAATCTACCTTTTTTTTAAGAGAGAATTTTCAATGCAATAACAAGGAATGATCAGGGTTTGAGGAGATATTTATGCTTACCCTGAGCTGAGCATTGTACAACATACACATCTGGAGACACCACCCTGGTGGCTTCTGTCAAGAGCTCTAGGAACTCATAGGCAAAATCCTGTGGCTGTGTGCCCACCTGATCCAAGTGACCAGCCGCAGCCCAGATGTCCTCCATCGAACCCCCTGAATGACTGTCCTGCCCCTGCCACAGCAGCTCCAGTGAAGGGAACATCCCATATCTCAAGAGACCCTGTCACCCTGGAATAGACCCCTGCAGGAAGGGAAGGGGAACATGATCGTGAAGAACAGAGCGCCAGGCAGGAGGACACGGTGCAGTGGACAATATGAAGGCAGAGTTTGCTCACAAACCAGCAGCACTAATGACAGGCTGGAGGATGAGCACCCTGGACTGGCTTCCCTGATTCCTGTCCCTCGTGCTGGGTGTGGCAGAGTCACCTTGGGGGCCACAACATGTGGCAGCCGTTGTAGGGTCAACAATGCAGGGCCTGGCTGAGGGCAGACCTGCTTCCTCCTCTGCATCATCATTCTGGAGGGCAGACAGTCCAACCCAGACAGGATGGGAGGGACAGCAGTCCCCTCCTTCCATGTTGTTCCTGCCCTCTGTATCTACCTAATGGAGAAGAGAGGGGCCAGGAGCATCCCACCGGATGGCTCCCCAGGGGCTAGTGGGGAGACACTGCACTATGTCCAGACAGACAGGTGCAGGCAGCGAGGGAGCAGCAGTGAGTGTGCCCTGGGGGGCGAGTGCCTGCTGCCATGCTAAGATGCTGCTCACCTGTAACAGAGTTCCCAAACCCAGTCCCAGCTCTGATTCTGATCCTGCTAAGACACACCTGGAGAAACAGTGATGCTGGTTCAAGTACATGGGTTCCTCCACCTGTGTGGAGGACCTCGCTTGAGTTTCAGGCTTTTAGCTTTGTCCAGCCCAGCGTTGACCTATCGTGGGCATTTGGGGGGTGAACAAGCAGTAGGAAGATCTCTCTTTTTGTTTCTTTCCCCCTTCCTTATCTCTCCTTCTCTCTATGCAATGCTGCCTTTCAATATAAATAAATCTTGTAAAGAAATAAAAACAAAAGCAGGGCTTTCCCTGTCTCTCACCAAATGATGTCCCAGGCTGCCCTAGGACTCTGCAGCAGGAAGAGGCAGCCCCACTCAGCCCGTGGGACAGGACCAGAACTCTGAGCTCAGATAAAACTAACACTTGCATTATGTGCCACAGAAAACGGAAACAGCAAATACTAGTAAGAGTTTAGGATGAGAGGAGTCACATGACCTGCTCCTACCGAGTCACTCTGTTCTTTCAGGGGTATTTCAGATCCAGGGTCGGCCTCCAGGCTGACGGAATCGATGCACTCAGCAAGTGTGTTATTGGTCACATCTTCTTGGATGGGGGGATCCTTGGTCCTGGTGTCCACATGTTGCTCCAGGGGCCCAGCGGTCATGGTCTCTGTACCCTGCATGGCTGTATTCTCACACATGGCCCCTCCAGGGTCAGCTGGCATTGGCTCATGCAAAACTGTAGCTGAATCACAGGGCACTTTGCCATCCTCAGGAAAAGAATCGCCACTAGGCAGCTCAGGAATTTCTCTTGGATCTCCAGCAGCTCCGCTGTCACTGACCATGTCAGCCATCTTAGTATCTGCCAATACAATCACACACACACACTTCAGGCTTTCATCTGAATTGTTCACGTTTCATTCAGAGACATGAACAATTCAATTACATCTGGCAGGAGGGGAGTAGGGGCAAATCTGTTCTGCTAGTAAGATGGAACCCTGGGCTGTGGGTGGCAGAGGCAGGCCCTTGAAAGAGAGTGGCGGCCTATTTGCCAGCACCTGTGAACACTGCCTGACATGGCAAAGGAACTCTGCAGGTGTGACTGAGTTAAGGGCTATGGGATAAGGCAGTCATTTAGCCTCTCCAGGTAAACCCTAAATGTCATCACAGAGGGTGGCCACAGAGAGGAAAAGGTGTGAAGATGGGCAGAAGCAGAGATTGGAGTGATGCACCCCCAGGAGGAAGAAGGGATTTGACAGGTGACTGGACACTGAGAAAGGCAAGGCAACTACTCCCCTTGGAGACTCCAGAGGGACCCAGCACAGCCAACACCTTGACTTTTAACGCCCAGAAAGGAACCATGACCTCACAGCCTCTGGGACTTTGAGTGAATGACCATGACGGAGCCACTGCAAATGTCGTGGCTCAGCAGCGTGCTTGAACTGAGCCGGGTCTCTTTGGCGGAAGGGATACACACGTGGGAACTAAAACTACTGTCTGCATTTATTAAAGTATTTACTTCATCTGCCTGTGGCTATTGAGCATTTGATTCTGGCTAGTGCAACTGAAGTAAATTTTTAGTCCTATTTAAATGTTCATAGGCACCTGGGGCTTTACTAGGTAGCACAGAATTGAGAAGACTGGCTCCACATGACAGCCCACGTAGAATCACTGCAGACTCCATGTCCTCACCACACAGGGAACAGGGTCTCAGGCACGTTGGTGGGCATGTCTACTGAGCTCAGTGTGTACCAGCTGGCCAGCTCTCAGGCTGTGACAGGGCAGGTAACTTACAGCCATACAGTGGGGCAGGCATTCATGATCAAGGTTGTTCGGCCATCTGCTCTTTCTTGGAGAGTCTCACTCCTATCTCAGTTGTCACCCACCACTTCAGGGGCTTTCAAACATCTGCCTCCATTCAGTGACAGAAAGCAGTGTGTGCAGGGGCTGCAGGCAGGGACCTGGGGGATGACTGCTGATGGGTCTGAGGTTTCTTTTGGAGTTGATGGGAATGTTCTAAGATATGATGAATGTGATGGCTGTACTGGTCTGGAAATACACCCAAATCCACTGTGACCTACACACTTGAGGAGAGTGAGTGTTTAGTAGGTGAACCTCATGGCACTTGAAGGACTCCTCAGTAACACTTGGAATGAAGTAGCTTTTCCCTTCAGTAGTTCCAATGGCAAGCTGGACACCGAGTCCTGTCTTGAAGGAAACCTGTTGTCCTAATCTCAACACCAGATCCTTTCTTGATTTCTGCATTTCTTTTAATGGCGCCTCAATTTCCTAACAATCCAGGTTTACAACTTCAGATCTGTTACTGACCAAACTTTAGCCTGTCAACAGTTAGATGAGAGGTATTAATTCTAATATTCTATAGCACATGTAGGTATTTGTAGTCTACAACAATATCTTATATATTTAAGATTAACTAGAGGAATCTGAAGGTTTCAAAGACGTACAGTTGAAAAACAAGAGGAGCCAGGAATGCCAATAATTGCCCTGAACATTACATGTTGTCTACAAGCATCAAGTAGTCATATTGCATCCCATGACTATGTGCAAATATTATGTGTAAATTAAAAATAAAAATCAGGGATGCATATTTGGTACAGTGGAAAATTGCTGCATGGGATGTCTGTATTCTCCATCAGAGCACTTGGGCTGCAGGTCCAGCTCTGCCCATTTCAGCTTCCTGCTGGTGTGTACCTGAGAAGGCAGCAGGTGACAGTCCAGATATGTGTGTCCTTCTAACTCACGTGGAAGGCCTGGACTGAGTTCTCTGCTCCTGGATCTGGCCTGCCCTAGTTTGGCTGTTGCAGGCATTTGGGGAAGTGAAACAATAGATGGAGAGCTCTTTCTCCACTCCTTTCAAATAAATAAAAACATTTAAAATGTCCTAAATTTATCACATCCCAAGAGTTTGAGATGCTGAGTTCCACTTTATAGACAAGGGAGGGTCAAAGGTCATACTTTAATCAACAGAAGATCTGATATTTGAACCCGTGTCTGACTTTGAGATCAAACAACATGAAAGCCCTGTCTATAGTGCCACCTGGCTCTTTTCACATTGTCAACTGCCACATCCTAGTGGCTTTATATTTGGAATCCATGTCCTTTCCTTGACTTCCATCCTCACTGCCAGGTCCTCAGTAAGGCTCAGTGTCCAGCTCCCCACCATAGCTCTTGCCCTTGTCCTATCCTTCATTCAGTCGGTCTCACTGCACTGTTCTCCTGGTCATGACTGCTGAGGCGGTATCATGTGCCTTGGTGACCTCTGAGCTCTTATCCACCAGGCTTATTTCCCACTATCCCCTCTGAAGATCTGAAATGCTAATAAGTGCGGAGCTTATACACATTCCTGCTAATAAGTCTACAAGGGGAAAGGCCAAGAATGTATACTTCTCTCTGGCAGATGAATTCAGTCTTACGACATTCATGGTTGGCCACGGGCTGTCAAAGCCTGGTAGACACAGTCAAGAATGACCCAAGATGCCTGGCACAATGGCTCAATGACTAAATCCTCACCTTGCAAGTGCTGGGATCCCATATGGGTGCTGACTCATGTCCTGGCTGCTCCGCTTCCCTTCCAGCTCCCTGCTTGTGGCCTGGGAAAGCAGTAGAGGATAGCCCAAAACTTTGGGATCCTAAACATATGCATGGGAGACCCAGAAGAAGTTCCTGGCTCCTGGCTTTGGATCAGCTCAGCTCTGGCCATTGTAGCCACTTGGGGAGTGAACCAATGGATGGAAGATCTTTGTCTCTCCTCTCTGTAAATCTGCCCTGCCTTTCCTATAAAAATAAATAAACCTTAAAAAAAAATAAAAGACCCTAGGTCTTATATACCAAAAGGGTTTGCTGTGCTTTATAGGAGGAAAGTGGAATAAACAGGGAAGGGAGTCCCTGAACAGCCTGGAGTGTATGAAGTCTTGGTAAAAATCTGAGCTAAGACAGCGGGTAGCAAACTAGTCTGTTGGCCAAATCTTATTTCCTGTTTTACAAAACAAGCTTTGCTTGGAAAACACACATCGTTGTGGTTTCTCCAGCACTACGACAGCAAAGGGGAATAGTGCTACAGAAAGTATATAGCCCGTGAGATCACAAAAGCTACAACATATTCTCTGTGTCCTGTTACAGAATATGCCTGCTGACTACTGGCTTAGAACATTGTGTGTGTGAATGTCCCTGCCTGAGGAGATCTCAGTGTTAGCTGACCCTATCCTGGGGCAGCTGCTGAGCCTAGTGGTTTGGATGCCCATGTTCCATATTGGGGTGCTTGGGTTAGATGCCAGCTTCCTGCACTTTCACACCCTGGGAGGCAGCGGTGACGATTCAAGAACTTAGGTTCCTGCCTTGTACCTGGGTGGACTGGATTGTGTTCCTGGTTTTGGCCCTGGCCCAAGCTCTGCCACCAGCCTACAGGCAGGCATTTGGGAAGTGAATCAGGGCATGGCTCTCCATCCGCCTCTCAAAATAGGAAGATTTATATATTCTATCTTTATCCTCTCTCACATCCTAGGAACATGACAAAAGGGAGAATAACCCCATAAATAAATGATTTTTGGCATCATCTTCATTCTCATTTAGTTTTCATTGGTAGCTAATCACAGACATAGTTGAAGCTCTTACATCTTTGTAAGGGCATCAGAAAATCCTTACTTGGATTATTAAGAGGATTCAAATGATTCACTTTTCTATCAGCAAGAGTGTGGGAATAAACCTGGATATAATAAGCACTTATGGGCGAATAAAAATCATCATGGACACTCTGATGCTAGTATTTCTGTCCTAAATGTGCTGTTACAGTTCATAATGTGACATACATTGCATGACTACATACTAGTTTCAAGTTACATCTATCAGCAGCGGTTAATTAACATCTGAAGTATCCTATTAGGGAAAAAATATGCTCCAGGAATCTTTCCTGCTTTTCCAGGAACTTCTACCTATTCAGAGGGCTTGATGACTGTCCTTTCTGTCCAGGCATGCTAACTAGCATAAGGCACACGAGAAGTCATTTTTCACCGGCAAAATGGGAAATAACCCACAGGCACCAGATGCCCTTCTATGACCTGGGCAGAACATGACATTGAGCCGTGCTGCCATATCTTTAACCAAGTGTAGAACCCAAAGCCCAAAACTCAGAGGAGGGATGCTGAGTCCTGACTTCAGAAGAGAGAAGCGAGAGGTAGCAAGGGAGGAACTTGCATCCTGCTTGCAATTACAGGCTATCTAATTAAACCTCAACCTGGTTGCAGACATGCATGTGGGCACATGGCAACATTCCATCAGCTTCATGGGCACGACCCACCTCAGGAGGTTGTTGGGGAAACCTTCAGGGCTCCCTAACTCTGACTGCCAGGCTGTTTTCTCAGACTTCACCTCCAGGGTCAACATGTGGGGGCACCAGAAATTCTCTACAGTGGTTCTGCCTTCTATGGGCACAGGAACCACCGCTTCTGGAACATACCTAAATCGGCTGTCACGTGGCCTGATGTTCCTAAAACAATACATTTACAGATCGTTTGCACATTTCAGAGAGGCCAGATTTTAGCATCTGTTTAGATGGCAGCATTGTGCAGTGGGTTGGGTTACCACCAGCCACTCTGGCATTCCTTATGAGTGCTGGTGTCCTGGCTGCTCCACTTCTAATCCTGCTCCAAGCTAACAGCTTTGGAAAGAATGGTGGAGATGGTCCAAGTGTTTGGGTCTCTTGCCACTCGTGTGGTAGACCTGGATGAAGCTCCTGGCTCCTGTCTTCAACCTAGCACTTTGTGATTATCCGAGGAATGAACCAGCAGATGGATGACCCCTCTCTTTAACTCAACTTTCAAAATAAGTAAATGTATCTTAAAAAATAATAAAAATGTCACAAGATCAGACCTATTTAAACTTCTAGTTGTCTCTCTAATCTGTATTTGGAATATTTAATTGAATTACCTACTAAAAATGCATTTAATTATCCAATTGGGTAGACTGGCAAAGGTTTATTCTTCTCTAAATCAAAGTGAAAAAAACACATACAAACAAAAAAACGAAACAAGACTCCTCTTTGCTGTTCTTATGAACACATGTCGACTCTGGATGCTGTTACAGGTGGGGCGGTTGTGACGGTGTAAAGCCTGTGTGGGCTTTGGTCTGAAACCATCAGGAACTGCGTGTGGTCAGTGCCCAGCTGTTTCTCAGCATGGGCTTGTGAAACTCAAGTGGATTCCTGGGCAGCCCCCATCTCTGCCTGGGTGTTCTCCAGCAGCCAGAAACAGCACAGCCTCACCAATGGAATGCTGGGCACTGCTGTCACATGCTGGGGTTATGACGGTGAGAAGCCTACACTGACAGGGAACTCAGACGAGAGAAAGGGCAGCACAAAAGGCAGCCTTTGTGGGCTAGGGATAAGTTAGTTTTTCATGAGTGAATTCATTTACCACCTAAAATGCATGCAATGCTATGTAACATATTGAAGCAGCGACATCAACTGGCTCCTATGACAGGTGGAAAATGGAAGACAGAAGCACTATCGTGGAGAAGGGAACCATCTGAGGAATCATACAAAGCAGTTACAAAGGGATGAAAAATAGGACATTCAAAATGGACACGGGAGTGGAACAGGACTGGCCTCAGGCCAGGGGACTGGTGTAGGTGGCTTTGCCACAGCTACGCAGGTGTGATGGGAAAAGGGCAGGTGCCAAACACCCAGCATCAGGACTGCAGCCTGGGTCTTCAGGATGACGTGTCTGTGGCTGGGACAAGAGGCTACAAGAAGCAGCGATGAGGTGAGCCTGGAAAGGCAGCCTGATGTGGGAAGGCCTTGGTCCAACGGTGCCCCCCTGAGGGGCCAACACCTCACTCATTCTCACCTCCTCCTCCATTAGGGAAGGGCGAACACGGGGATCCCACCCTTGTTCACATGCCCCGATGGCAGGCCTGGGACCCATCCTTTAAGGACAGAGAAGCACCAGAACAAGGTCGCAAGTTTTCCATAAATCTGAATCGACTCAACAGATGGCACTGCCTTCATCTCCCAAGTGCAGCCTTCCAGCTTTTCTCAGGATGAAAACATCTTTCATTGTATAAAAACTGTGGTGAGAGTGGGTTTTTTAAAATGGCCTCACTTGGCAAAATAAAAACTTGGTAACAGGATATGCTGTGTGAGTCCAGCTAGCTTTCAGTTTGAAAAACGTGCTGGCCAAATGGAGGATCTGGGATCAGCCCTCCAGGGAGAGGTTTTTTCGGTCAGTGCTGGAGCTGAGCTCCGCCTCCCCACACACCCCCGCCTCGGGCTCTGCCAGGCACCTTAGGAAACACTCCTGCTGGCTCTTTTGTTTAAACACCTCTAGGCACAAACACCTTGACTTACACGTGGATCCTTCATCTCTGCCACCGTTCTCAGCATCCCTGCTCTCACAACACAGAAAGTTCCACAACTCCCACACCCCATGGTCCTCCGACTTCTATGCCTTCCCTGAACCATGCACTTCCGACTCTGTAATTTTCCTTCACCTGCCCCTAGGTCTTCCCAAGCATTAACTGCTCCTGTTGGTCTTGCACTACTGCCTTGAGAAGTTAGTGCTTCTTTGACACGTCTCCTGTGGGCCTGCAACCCCCAGTAACCTCCCACAAGCTCCCAACTCAGTCTCTCACCTCCGAGTCTTGCCTGGACCGAGAGAGACTGACTGTATTTGCTGTACGGATGAGACAGAAACAACGGGTGCTATATGCTCTGGTCTGATAAATCAGTGTCTACTTATATGGTCTGAATCCCCAAGATGCACGAAGGCCCCCTCCCATCCTCACATTCCTGTCGCACTGGCTCACTTTTGCCTCAAAATTCCGCCCCTCGGGTTCCCTCACAACTTAACAACGCACGAAGCGCATCAGTTCCGTGGCTCGGCCGAGGGTGGGGGCAAGGGAGAGGGTGCGGGAGGAAAATGGGGCCCCTGGGAGGAAGGAGGGGGCATGCGGGTCTCTGAGGTGAGTCAGTTCCCTCTGCCTGGCTGAGGTCTTCCCACTTCCCAGGAAAGCGGGACCGGGGGTCTCTGCGAAAGGCAGTCTTACGGGACGGCTAGACATACTCACCAAATTCCAGGCGAGAAGACCAGAGGATTGGGATGGAGGGGGCTGGGGCGGGGCGAGGGACCCGCATGGGGCAGCCAGGGATAGAGGGGGTGCCAGTCTGGGAGGAGGCGAGGTCAAGGCCTGAGCTGGGCTTCTCGCTGGGGAGGCCCCCTGTTAGAATGGGGTGCCTCGCCGCTGGGAGCCCACAGCCCACCTCGGACCTGGCCCCGGGACACGGGGGTGGAGGAGGGCTAAGGAGCGGGGGAGCCGGCTGAAACTTCCAAAGACTTGCCTGCTGCCTGGTCTGGATGCTTTGCGGGGGTCCCCGGCGACCGAGGGAGGCAGCCCCGGCGTGCGGGCGTGTGGGTGTGTGCATGAGCGTGGACCCGGAGCGACACACACTCACACACACACACTCACACGCCCGCACCCTCGCAGGCCCTCGGCCGCGCCGCCCCGGACCTTCGCCCCGACGACGCCGACTCCTCCCGGGCGCGCGCCGCCTGAGGAGAGCTGCCGGCTCCGGGCAGGGAGCGGGACTCCGGAGGGGTGTGTGTTGGGGAAGGCAGCGGCCCGGGACCCGGGGCCGCCGAGGGGTCTCCCCACCACCCCGCTGCGGCAGCGCCCGCCCGCGGGAAGGGGAGAGGGAAGCCCGGCTCTTACCGCTCCGCCGCCGGCCGAGTGCGCGCGGGAGCGGCCGGTGGGTCCCGCCCCGCCACGTCGGCAGGGCCGGCGGGGACGCGGCCCGAGGGCGGCCGGGGAGGGGCGGGGCCGAGGGCGGCTGGGGCGGGGCCGAGGGTGGGCGGGGCCGAGGGCGGCTGGGGCGGGGCCGAGGGTGGGCGGGGCCGCGCCGCCAAGCCCCCTGGCCGGAGCCGGACGTGTCCTGGGCCATTACTGTGCTGATTCCCGGCTCCGGGCCAGCGGGGCCAGCCAGGTCCCCGGCAGGATTCGAGGTTCGTCGATGCCTTTCCTTCCTCTCCAAGAACCAGGACAGTCTACAGAGCGTCTGATCCTCAGCCGGTCGGTGGGCTTGTGAAGGGGATGCCAAAAAGCAGCAGCGATGGGACAATTCGTGGAGGGGCTGGCTGGGGATGGTGGCTCACAACTCGGATGCATTAGCCTTGGCTAGGAACGCCACGTCTGCCGCGGGAGCCTGAGGCCACAGTCAGCGGGGCCAGTGTGTGTGGACCAGGCTGTTTACCGTGGTTGGTGCCCGGGACAGCCGGAAGCAGCCGGAGTTGTCCAGCAGGCAGGGCTGGTGGAGTGCACAGTGGACCCTGCAGTGCCGCTGACGGTGTCTGTTGGCCCGGAAGGAAGCTGCGTCTTTCCCTCAACATAGGACTAAATATGAAGCTGGAAAGGGGAAGCTTGAAGTGGCTGTCTGAGGTGTGTTATTCCTGTAAGTGTGTGTGTGTGTGTGTGTGTAAAACAGTCATGGAAAATACGATTTAAAAACTGTGATTCTAAACCAAATTTCCGAGGTCGGCTGTCTCCTCTTTCACACACTCTTCTTTTAGACACTATAAATTAAAACAATTTAAACACAGGGTAGCTTTGTTTTCTGCCCCTCAGTCTCACTACCATTTTAAAAATAGTATGTGAATCCTATTGTAGTTTTCCTAACTTAGATTAGCACATACATACCTAAACAGTGTTAGAACTTTTTACATACTTGACAAGATAATGACATATTTTGTCCATTTTCTCCTATTCTTTGTAATCCATCTTGGTGACCATGTTTCAATCCAAGTCACACTTCTAAGATTTGCATTATGTGTGTGTATTTATTTATTTGAAAGGCAGAGTTAGGAGAGGACGGGAGGGGGAGGGGACGGGAGGGGAGGGAAGGAGAGGAGAGGAGAGGAGGGGAGGGGAGGAAAGGAAGAAAGAAATATTCCACCTGCTAGTTCACCCCAAATGGCCAGGAGCTGGGAACTCCATCTGTGTCTCCCTCATGGGTGGTTGGCTCATATCCCACTGCCTTCCCAGGAGTATTTGCAGAGAGCTGGATTGGAAGTGGAACAACTGGAACTCCAACTGGAGCACCCATAGGGGATGCTGGTATCACAGTTGTCAGTGAAACCTTGTACCACAGCTGCATTATATTCTGTGGGAACTCAGTATCAGACTTTCTTAAGCATTTTCCTTCTGATGGACAAACAGGTCATTTCCATTCCCCCCCCCCATCTTTTCCATATTAAATATAAAAACAATTAAGTAAACCAATATTTGTTCTTTTTATACAGATAGAAAGTCTGGGGGGAAAAAGTCACTTAATGCGAGGGAGAGTGGAAAGGGCTGTCCCTGGCCATTGACCTTGTCGAATCATGCCAAGATTTGAGAATCCTAACATTCGGATTTTTTTTCACCCCTAAAAAAGAGAGGTGTGTGTACCAGGCCCTCTGGTTGTGTGAGTGCTATCGGATGGTAGTCCGGGTGTAACAGGTGCATTTTGCTGTGCCATCAGCAGAGGCAGCCCTGCTGGGGACTTCTGCACCTGCCTACAGACACACAGCAAGCACTGCCGCTACACCTGCTTCCCTGGCCTGGAAGGTGGCAGCAGCCCAGTCAGGTAGTCCCCCTTTGAATGAATTGTTCTCCCTTTTCCTTTGACCCAAATCACGCCTAGCCAATAACAACATCAACCAAGCAATCCTAACAAGGTTCTTTTGCTTTGTTTTGTTTATCAACTACAAATCATGTCCTATGAAATAAATGTAACTGCTTCCAGGCAGGCCTAGCATTCTTCACCTTTATACATTTTTATGTAACTTAAGTTTTTAAAGATCTATTTAAATAATTCTGGAGTGTTTAAATAGAAAAAGCGGAGGATAAAAAATAATAAGCCTTTACTTATTCTTAGGAAAAAAAATGTAGTGACACCTAGGTTTAACTAGGGGGCACTGTGCGCAGGAGGGGGTACAGGTCCTAAACCTCCGTGGGCTGGGATGGAATCCTTTGAAGAACTTTGCAGAGTACTCCCACTTGACCCCTCGCAGGCCAGGTAAAGCTGAATCCATGCACGTGTGTTTGAACTCCTATTTCTTCACTTCCTGATCCTCAGCCAGTACTACCAGAAGTTTCCATTTTTGTCCATCTCACATTCCTCCAGGGTTATGTGTGTTCCAAAAACCTGCTCCCAGTCAGTGTCCTGTCTTTATTACTATTATTAAATTCATGTGGAAGAATGTTTTAGTGTTCATGTCAGTGTTTAATATGAAATTTGTGTCCTAAAACCTCTGTTTCCTCTCCAGTTCCCTACTAACAGTACAGGGAAGTCATTGGGAGATGCTCGAATGCTTGGGCACCTGCCACCCAGGAGGGAGGTCAAGACAGAATTCCTGGCTCCTGGTTTCAGCCTGGCGCAGCCCTGGCTGATATGGCTATTTGGGGAAATGAGCCAGTGGATGCAAGATTCTCTCTGCTTCTCTCTCTGTCACTTTGCCTTTCAGAGAGATGAAAATATACATTCATAAATTTTTTATGGTATTATTAACTTTTGTACAACTCATTTCAAAGTTGCCGGCAGGCACTAATGTTTGCTTATTTTTAGGGGGAGAAAGTAAAGGCAGTTTTAAGAGTGAAAATCAACCAAAAAGTTTTGTTGGTGTCTATATTGGAGCAGCATATTTGCTATGCTGTTTTTACCTATGCATTTGTGGCAGTATTTTAAAAAACTAAGGTTACACATGTGCCTGGTACAAAAGGAAGACAGAATAAAAAGGAGTAAAATGCAGACCAAAAACTTCTATCTCAATTCTGTTCACAGGTAAGTTTGTTAAGGGTTTGTCTTACTTACTTGTTTTCCTTTGAAAGGCAAAGTTACACAGAGAGGAGAGACACACAGAGAGATCTTTCATCTACCGATTCACTCCCCAAATGGTCACAATGGCTGGAACTTGGCCAGACCAGTCAGGACTCTAGGTCTCCTACGCAGGTGCAGGGGTCCAAGAATTTGGGTCCTTCTCTGCTTCTTTTCCAGACCATAAGCAGGAAACTAGCTTGGAAGCAGGGCAGCTGGGACATGAAAAAGTGCCCATATGGGATGCTGACACCACAGGCGGAGGCTTAGCATACTGTGCCACAGCGCTGGCCCCTCTTCAGGATCTTTTGAGAAGAAATGTTCTTTGTATGTGTGAAGGAAACCAGTAGCACAGCTCTGGAGGCTGAAAGTACAACGCACGGTGTAAACAAAACTGCTGTCTCTGGCTCCTGGTGGTCGCAGTGACCACCAAACCTCAATGCCCACCTGTTTTCAAAGGGCTGCTTCTCTCTGTGTGTCTCATAAAGCAATGTTGTGTCAGGTTTGCACACACAGACACTACAGCCAGACTGCCTGGGTTCCAGTCCCAGCCCCACCTCTGCCCAGCAGGGTAGTTAACTAACAGCTCCTGTCCAGGGATATACACAGACAAGGATAGTACTCATCTTGCAGCACCTGCCAGGGGGTTTACCTGAGTTAAAACTTGCCAAGTACTCAGAACAATGCCTAATAAGAAATAACCCCCGTGAAGAAGTGGCAGATGTTATGCAAATGATGGCACACTATCCGTTCTGCTCTGCATCTTGCCATCTTTCTTATATATATATGTAAATATAAATAAATAAATATATATAAATATAAAATAAACTTATATAAATTCATTTTCATTTATTTGAAAGGCAGAGAAAAAGAGAAAAATATATGTTACCCATTAGCCAGTACACTCCCCAAATGACTGCACCATCCAGGACTGGGCAAGGCGGAAGCCAGGAGCCCAGAGTCCAATCCGGAATTCCAGGTAGATGGCAGGGACTCCAGTTCCTGAGCCATCCACCTGCTGCCTCTTAGGATGTACATTAGCAGGAGCTGGAATTGGAAGTGGAGCTGGGACTTCAACCCGATTAATCTGATCTGGAATGCAGACATTCCAAGCAGCGCCTAGTGGTCAAGTCAAATACTTGCTCCTTCACCTTGCTCTTCTCTACTTAGTAGAATTGCTTGAAATCTTTGTACTTCAATATACAGAAATACATAGCTTGCCTAGAATTCTCACCTCCTCATTATTCGGACTTCTGTGTCACTCCCTGTCTCAGCTATGTTTTATTCATGAGCTTCCCTAAAAATTACAAGTATTCTCAATTTATGGATGGGGAAATGGAGTCTCAGGGAGGTTTAACAGCTTACCCAAAATCACATAGTTACTGAGTATCCACAAGAGGAGTTCAACCCAGTATTGTTTTCTTTTTCTTATTATTATTTGTATTGGGAAAGCAGATCTACAGAGAGGAGAAACAGAGAGAAAAGTCTTCCATTCACTGGTTCACTCCCCAAATGCCTACAACAGCTGGAGCTGAGCCAATCCAAAGCCAGAAGCCAGGAGTTTCTCCCAGGCGTCCCACATGAGTGTAGTGTCCCAAGGCTTTGGACCATCCTCTTTTGTGCAAGCAGGGAGCTGGATGGGAAGTGGAGCATCTGGGACATGAACCTGCACCCATAGGGGATCCTGGCACTTACAGGGGAGGGATTGGCTAATTGAGTCATTGTGCCCCCCCTCCCTCCCTCCCTCCCCCACTGAGTACTGTTTTGTTTCACTGCCATGGTTCTTCTCATATGATCTGATGTCTGTGGTTTTTGTCTTCCTCTTAAGGTCGTCTCTCAGACATGTGGGAGCCTCAGAAATGGACTCCTTGGTTGCACAATACCCTAAGAGGATTCTGCAGTACTCTAATGAAACACAGGCCACGTGACCATATCTTCAGTGATGCAAGTGTGCGTGTGCATATCCTCCGCGGACTTTAGCCCAGTGCTGCTTGAGGTCCCCGCGGAGCCCCTTTGTCTTCTGCCTGATCCTCACAGCCGGGTTCCCAGAGGCAGGACACCTGCTCTCCACCTGTCTCTTCTTGTGTCCACGTGCTCCCGCGACGACTTCCGCATGGGTTTGGTGAGTAAGGATGAGGAGGATGAAAGCTGACCTTCCCACTCTTGAAAGCAGAAGTGGTTCTTACGTGGATGCTTCTTTCTCATTTGCCAACTTACAGGGTTCTCACTTATTTCCTGTAAAGATGCGGCAGAGGGAGACAGTGGGTGTGGGAATGATTGCATAGTTCGTGTTGCAATGCTTCGTTAGAACCACAGTTAAGCGACAAGCCTGGGGAACAGGGTCTTCTGGTTACAGAACTATCTTGGTTAACCTGACATCTTTTTACGTCAACCCCTGTCAATATCTTTCTAAACGGTTCGAAATGGTCTTTGGGAAGATCGCTTTTGAATTAGTCTTGCAGGATCTCAATGTTGTTTAGTGTTTTAGAATTAAAAATTAAAATATCTGATAATACTAAATATTGATCAGATTGTGGGGAAACAGGGTACAGTGGATAAGTAGGTATCAACTGCTGAACTTTCCTTGAAAAGTGGATTTAGAAACAAAATCAGCAGCACCACCAACAACAAAACAATTGTATTGAGGTGGGCTTCTGGTCTGCCTGCTCGCACACTGGTTCAGATGGCTGTGTGCCACATCAGGCACTCTGCATTTGCTTCCCAGCTCTGGTTCCTGTCTCTAGCTTCCTCCTAATGTAGTGATGATGGCTCAGGGAGTTGGAATCCACTTAGTAGATCTAGATAAAATTCTTAGCTCCTGGCTTCTGCCTGGCCCAATCCCAGCTGTTGTGAGCATTGGGGAATAAAACAGTGAATGGGATCCTGCTCTCATGCTCTCATACTCTCTGTCTCTCTCTAAAAGAAAAAAAAAGTGGACTTGAGTTTGTTTTCAAAGTATCTCATCCAGCTAAAAGAATGTTTAACAATTACTTGATGGTGGTGGTAGCTGCAGTTATTTTGGAGATATTAAATATGGTGATGTTGGGCCAGCACATTGGCCCAACTGCCTAATCCTCCACCTCCAAGTGGTGGCATCCCATATGGGCGCTGGTTCATGTCCCAGCTGCTCCACTTCCCATACAGCTTCCTGCTTATGCCCTGGGAGAGCAGTAATAGATGGCCTTTGGACTCTGTACCTGCATGGGAGACCTGGATAGGGCTCCTGGTTCCAGATTGGCTCAGCTCCAGCTGTTGTAGCCATTTGGGGAGTGAACCAGCAGATGGAAGATCTTTCTCTTTGTCTTGCCTTCTCTCTGTAAATCTTTCTTTTCAATAAAATAAATAAATCTTTCGAAAAAAAACATGCTGATAACAGAAAAAGGACTTGAGAGTTGAATAAATATTGCCTTAGAACAACGTTTTCCTTAATACTGAAACTTTCATGAGCTATTTGCTCACAGGTATGGACATATTTGATTCCTGGTTTCGTTTCTAACCCGGAAAAATCTGCTGACCCTCCTGCTTTGTTTATGTGGTGCAAAAGAGAAATTTCTATGCTGGAGTAAGTGCAGGAAGGGCCAGCAGATGGCGCCAGACTGTCTTTGAGGCATTTCCATACCAGGGACTTGTTTTGGTTAAGCACCCATTTTTCGTGCTTGAAGACCTTATTTTCTTTTCTTAAAAAATCTTTGTGAGTAAAGCGCTTCTTTAAAGGATGGCAAGGAAATACTAACCATTACATAAGAATTAGGTAATGTTTCTTTGAAATTTTTGCAAAATGATTTTGCAAGCTTATTTCATCTGCCCTTGTTTCTCCTCCTTTACGTAGAATGAAACTCTCCTTGGGTTCACTCGCCAAATGTCCACACTGGCCAGGACTGCACCTGCAGGAAAAAGAGCCAGGAACTCAGTCTGTGTCTACCCGTGGGTGGTTGGACTCAGCTACTTGAGCCACAACCACTGCCTCCCCCGGGTTTTATTAGCAGGAAACTGGAGTTGAGCTGGAGCTGGAAATGGAGTTCAGGTACACATTGGAACAAAGGCATCTTGGCTACCAGGATAAATGCCTGCTCCTCTAAACCTATCTTCTAATCCCATGTCCCAGGAAGTCCTTTTGGATGGAATGGCATTCCAAATAACTCACCAATGTGCTTAATTTTTGTGTTGTGTTAAAAATACCATTTTGAGGGCCCAGTGTAATAGGCTAGTGGCTAAAGTCCTCACCTTGCATGTGCCAGGATCCCATGTGGGCACCAGTTTGTATCCTGGCTGCTTCACTTCTATTCCAGTTCCCTGTTTGTGGCCTGGGAAAGCAGTTGAGATGGCCCAAAGCCTTGGGACCCTGCACCTCTGAGGGAAACCTGGAAGAAGCTCCTGGTGGTTCCTGGCTTCAGACTGACTCAGCTCTGGCCCACTGTGGCCACTTGGGGAGTAAACCAGCAGATGGAAGATTTTTCTCTCATTCTCTGCTTCTCTCTGTCAATCTGACTTTACAATAAAAAAATAAATAAATAAAAATAAATCTTTTTAAAAAAGGACAGAAAAATTAGGGGCTAATCCTCTGTATGTTGTGTCAGGATTCCATATGGGTGTCCCAGCTGCTTCACTTCCCATCCAGCTCCCTGCTAATGGCCTGGAAAGGCAGCAGAGAAAGGCCCAAAGCTTTGGACCCCTGGACCCATGTGGGAGACCTGGAAGAAGCTCCTGGCTCCCAGCTTTGGATCAGCCTACCTCTGGGCATAGCAGCCATTTAGGGAGTGAACCAGCAAATAGAAGATCTCTCTGTCTTTCCCTCCCTCTCTTTGTAATTCTGACTTTCAAGTAAAATAATAAATCTTTTTTAAATGCGTAAAAATATTAGTTATAGAATAATTCATTTGTCATTATATTGCAGTTTTTTCAAGGTGAAATATTTGAAATCACATGTTATTTTATGTTATGGGTACAATGCAACTTCTTTAACCACAGTCAATACTAGATATTGTTTTTCAGTTTTTCATCATGTCAAGAGTTTCCTCATAGTGATTGTGTGTGTGTGTGTGTGCGTGTGTGCGTGTGTGCGTGTGTGTGTGTGTATGTGCGTGTAAACCTCTGATACTCCTTTAGGACATTCCCAGGAGTAGAATGCCAGAGTAAAGGGAGGCATATTTTAAATAAACTTACATAAATCATCAAATTTTCCGTTAGACAGGTTGTGCTAATTTTTAATTCCCGCCTAGGAAGTAAATGAGCTTTTGTTTTAATTCCCATCTACCAACACTGCAAATTATGTTCTTAAATTTCTTGAACAGAAGTAAAAAAAAAAAAAACACACCCTAAAAAAATCCTTTAAGAAATGAAACATCTTGTTTGACTATTTTGCTTCAATTAGTTTTAGCTTCTCTGACTTTCTATCCTTAAATGTTGTACCTCGTATCCCTCCGAAAGAACACGTTCCTGTATAACCAACTAAAACTAGTAGAGAACTTCCATTTGTTTCTCAGACAGTACCTGCTGTCTGATCCACGTTAGGATCGTGAGTATCCTCTCTTTCCTTATTCAGATCACCTTCAGACACTATGCGTAAACGGAATTCCAGTCTAGGATAATGAGTGTCATCCAGATGTTGTGTACTATTTTTTTAAAATGCACATGTTTATTTTTATGACTGGACGTTGTTTCTAGTATCAGCTCCTGATATTTTTATGAATTATCTGAGCAAATATTTGTTCCACTTAGTTTTGAATGTTGACACTTTGGAAAACATAGATAAAAGAACTAAGAGCAAAACAGTATCTTCTCCCACCACCCCCCCCCCCCGGCTGATAATATTACCATGCAAAGGTTTTGCTGTTAATAATTTGGATTATATCTTGGCAATTTTCCACATGTATGACGACATATTTACTTTGATAGTTTTAAAATAAGCTGCTTTCTGGGCCCGGCCTGGTGGCCTAGTGGCTAAAGTCTTCACCTTGAACGCGCTGAGATCCCATATGGGCACCAGTTCTAATCCTGGCAGCTCCACTTCCCATCAAGCTCCCTGCTTGTGGCCTAGGAAAGCAGTTGGGGACTGTCCAAAGTCTTGGGACCCTGCACCCATGTGGGAGACCTGGAGGAAGTTCCTGGCTCCTGGCTCCTGGCCCCTGGCTCCAGGTAGGCACAGCACTGGCTGTTGCACTCACTTGGGCAATGAATCATCGGACGGAAGATCTTCCTCTTTGTCTCTCTTTCTCTCTGTATATCTGACTTTGTAAAATAAATAAATTAATTAATTAAAAAATAAGCTGCTTTCTGTCATATACACATGAATAGTGAACATGTTTTCATGGAAATAGATTTGCATTGTTTTTCAAGGTCATTTAAAACGTTAGTTACATGAACATACTATTGTTTATGTGACAATCTCTTCTTTTTTGATAATTAGAATTCTTTGTAAGAGGATAGCTTGTTTTGTACTGGTCTCTTTTTACACTTTTTTCTTGGTACTATAAGTTTTCAATGGCTTCTCTAAAGTTTTCCACATTAATAATCAACATAAAAATAATGAAAAACTTATTTCTCCTTCCCAATATTTCTTCCTTCCATTTTTGTCCTAACTACCGTGGCAAGAGCTTCTACAAAGAACAGTGCTAAGTATCTGGGCATCCTTGGTGGTGACTGTCATGGAAAGACACCAGGGTGAGATATTGGTTGAAGTTAGATATTTGAAATTTTCTTATCAAGTTTTCAACATACTTATATCTTTTAAATGTCCAGTTTAATTTCAGTTGTACTTTAATAAAATAGGTGCTGTGTTTTGCCAAATAAATTTTTAACAACTATGGAGATGCTCAATTTTTTTTGTTATGACATCTTGATGTATTCTATTGTCATGGATTGCCTATCGATAGGCTAGCTTGAGAATCCTAACAACATCCCGCTATTCAGTGCTCGTTAAGTATCATTAGGTATATTTCATATTTCTGGTCTCTTGTGCTGAGTTTGAGAAAATCCTTCATCCTGGTTGCCTGTCTTAATCTTCTCATCAGCACTGACATTTTGCAACACTACTCATCCAATGAGTCTTCCATTTCAATAAGTAAAGATCTTAATTTTCATGACTCCTCCTGCCTTCTCGGAATCTTACCTCTTTGTGAGGTGATCTGTTACGCATGTCTGGGCTGCTCTTCCATGACTGTTGCCTCGGATGCAAAGTTCTCTTCCATCTGCAGTTCGTTTCCTTTCTGTCTCTGTGTTCTGTAGTGTCATGCTTCTTGATTGTGCAATCCCAACTGAGTTAAAGACTCCTCATAAAAATGCTTGTTGATTTGCTTTCACAACCTCCTTTGCTGGGAGGGTCGATCAAACCGCTCAGTGTTAACTTTCTACTGCTGCTGTAACAAATGGCTTAGTCACTTAAACAGAATTCATTTTGAATCTTGCAGTTCGGCAGGGTAGTAATCTAATACAGATGTGGGTGGGCTAAAATCAAGGGGTTAGTAAGGCGTCAGGGGAGGCCCCATTGACTTACCTTGAGCTTCAAAAGGCTGCCCACATTCCTGGGCTCATGGCTCCATCTTTGATCATGAAGCCAGGAATGGTGGGATCAAGTTGTTCTCGTATTACATTACTCTGAGCTCCTCTTCTGCTTCCCTCTTTTCATGATGACACTGGACACACTGAAGTAGTCCATGATAATCTTCCTATTCATAAGGTCAGCGGATCAGCAACTCTAATTCTATGCATGAAGTTCATTCCCCATTCTACCTCACGTGACATATTCACAAGCTCTGGGGATGAGGAAGTGACCAACTGAATGATTTGTATTCTGTCACAGTCGGATCTTCTAGGCTTCAGTGATTCTTGCTGGTTTTAGTTTCTTAAGGACTTCTTGCTTTTAAGAGCATTGTGTGTGTGCGCGTGCATGCACACGTGCACCTACATACAAGGTACTTCCAAAAGTTCATGAAAAACTGGAAAAAGAGGTCAGTTTTTTGGTGCAAAATGTTTTGAAATCCAGGCCCGGTATGGTAGCCTGGTGGCTGGGGTCCTCTCCTTGCACGCACTGGAATCCCATGTGGGCACTGGTTCTAATCCTGGTGGCCCCACTTTCCATCCAGCTCCCTGCTTGTGGCCTGGGAAAGCAGTCGAGGATGGCCCAAAGCCTTGGGACCCTGCACCCACATGGAGGGTGCAAGGCTTCGAGTCAGCTCAGCTCCGGTCATTGTGCCACTTGGAGAGTAGACCAACAGACCGAGGATCGTCCCTCTGTCTCTCCTCCTCTCTGTGTATCTGATTTTCCAATAAAAACAAATAAATCTTTAACAATTTTTTTGAAATCAATGCGTAGTGTTTTCGTAATGCATATTTTCCATGAGCTTGTTGAAGAACTCCTCTCTTCCATGTGTTTGTGTATATAAACCTTTAGTGTTTCATTTTAATATTTTTGGTCATCTTATCTCAGGGATTTAGAGCAGAACAAATAGGCTTGAGCATATCACCTCACCCTTCTTGGTTCTCACAATTTTTTTTGTTCTTATAATTTTTAATGTTCATATTTGATAATACAATGTTCTTGACCCAGAAGTCATTTAGAACATTTCAAAAAGGTGGTTTAGAAAGTTGCTTTTGCAACTAGGAATACGACTTTTACAATTTATGTTTTGGAATATTTATTTGAAAATGTATCTAACTTAATGACCAAATTAAGTAAATGCTTCATGAATCCTGGGGACTGGTTGTGGGGAGAAAGAAGAAGAGAGAGAGAAATACCTTTTATCTGCTGGTTCATTCCTCAATGACCACAACAGCTGCGGCTGGGCTAAGCTGAAGCCAGGAACCCGTAATTCACCCCGAGTCTCCCAAGTTTTACTGAACTACTTGAATCATCGTCTTCTACCTCTCTGCGTATGAATTAGCAGGAAACTGTAACCAGGAGAGTTACATACATGTAGACTAGAGTCCATGTATTCTTCCCTTCTACCCTATGACCAGGTCACCTTCCAGGGACCCTACTGCCTAGAATAACATCACATTTGTGATTAGACTTCCACACACAAACTGGGGTTCCACATTCTTTCAGACCATGGCAATGGCACATATACTTGGCAGTTTTTAATCTAAGTCTTACCTACTAGGCCAAATGTTCCTCCTTGTACAGATTTAAATGACCAATTCGGCTGGTCTAACAGGAGGGTCATTTGAGAGGCAGGATAGAAGAATTGTCTCTTGAAAAGAGAACTGATAATGTTTTTAGTAGTACAATTAAAAGAGACCATGGTCATATAGTTAACTTTTAAGACAGTTGATCTAAAGTCTTGGTTCAGTAAGTTAAATGTCTGTGCTTTTGCTGAGACCATGTTGATAATTTTTTTTCCAAGAATTAGTGGAATTTTTTTCAGAGTACATTCAAGTTTCTGGAAAAATTGAGCAAATGGTCTAGACAGTTTGCATACATGCTGTTCTATCATGCGTAGTTCTATTATAACATCTGGCATTGTTGTTTTTGTTGTAGTTGTTGAACCACATTGATGTAAGACTTTTATTAACTAAGGCCATGCTTTATGTTAGGGTTTTGGGGTAGGATCTATACATTTGGCCAAGTGTGTAATGGCACATCTCCACCATCAAATTGTTATACTGAACTTCCATTGCCCACAAAAATAGCCCGTCCTCCTTACACTCAACATTCTCCCCATCCTTCCACTGGCAACCACTCATCATTTTACTGGCTCTTAAGCTTTGTCTTTTCCAGACTGGCCTATAATTGCATTTGCACAAAAGGTTGTATTTTCAGATTGTTTACTTGGAAATACGCATCAACATTTCTTCCATATCTCTTCATAGCTTGAAAGCTCATTTCTTTTTATTGTTGCATATTTAATTGTGTAAATGTGTTCAAGGATATCCTGTTGGTTCTAGTTTGGGGGCAGTAATGAATGAAGTTGCTGTATATATCCACATGCAGGTTTTTAGGTGGCAGTAAGTGCTAAGTTCATTTGGGTAAATACCTAAGAGTATGAATTGCCTTTGTTCCTTTGTCAAAACTTGGTTGACCATATTTACACCAATCTGTTTTTGAGCTCTCTATTCTAGTTCATTGACCTGTTCATTCTTTTGCCAAAATCCCATTTCTCTAATAACAGTAGCTTTAAGTTTTAATGTTGGGGAGTGTCAGTTCTCTGACTTTATTAAATTTCTTATACTTCCAGTAAATACATTGTTTCATTGCATATTTAATAGCTTTTTAAAAATCCATTCTGAGTATTATACTGAGGTAACTGTAAACATCAGATTTTGCTCCTCCCCAGAGTGTATTGTGGGTTGTAGTTTGGTGACTTTCTGAAGTATTTTTTTAAAAGACTGTGCTCTTTGGACCTGGCGGTGTGGCCTGGCAGCTGGGGTCCTCGCCTTGAATGCACCAGGATCCCATCTGGGCACCGGTTCTGATCCCGGCAGCCCCACTTCCCATCCAGCTCACTGCTTGTGGCCTAGGGGGGCAGTCGAGGGTGGCCCAATGCTTTGGGATCCTGTATCCGTGTGGGAGACCTGGAGGAGGTTCCTGGCTACTGGCTCCATATCAGCACAGCACCGGCCATTGCAGTCACTTGGGGAGTGAATCATGGATGGAAGATTTTCCTCTCTGTCTCTCCTCCTCTCTGTATGTCTGACTTTGTAATAAAAATAAATAAATCTTTAAAAAATAAATAAATTAAAATTCAAAAGACTGTGCTCTTTCATATGGGGTCACTGAGTTCTCTGTTTATATAGTAATCAGCAAGTGATATGAGGTTTCATGTACACCTGGAGCAAATGCAAAACCAAATACAACATTCAAAAGACGACAACATCTGCAATCTTTGCAGGTTGGCCCTGTGTTGGAGCATTTCTTCATTGCTTGTCTAGACTGTTCACTTTCTGCTTGTATGGAGCCTCACTGTCAGCCAGAGAGGAAAGGTTAGGATTTTTTTTTTTCAGGTTTTCTCTGAGCATGTTCTCCCACTCTGGGCATGGGAGCGGATACCTCCATTCTCTGGTATACCTGGAACTTTCCAAAAGCCCATTTTCTCCTATGTACCTCCTTTCTTTGCCTCTTCCTTCCCTGGCTTTTTGGTTTGTCTTCTGGTCGACATATCTCTTAATTCATGCCCTAAATGGCTGCAGCTAGCACTTTTGCATTTCCATGTTTTTCACAAACCCCAGGAGGCTGGCTGCTCCATCCCTGAGAAAGAGCAGAGATGTGTGAAACAAAGCAAGTCTAGAGGGGATCCTCACAGCCTGGCAAGCAGAACACTCAACCCCAAGTCTTTCAGAGCAGGATCTAGATGGCCTTTCCTGGCAGCAGCAGGATTCCTCATTGTGGAAAGAAACAATCTATCAGTTTACAACTATAATAGTGAATGAAGAAACCATTGGTATTTATGTGTGGTAAATGGAGGTTTGAGAAAGTAATCATACAATTCTTATTCTTCTCAAGACTGTGCATTATATTTCCAGAATTTGGACTCCCATGAAGATCCTCTAAGGAACAGCAGCAGCCCTTCGTGATAGCCACTACATCATGACCCCAGACAACGAACCTGTTGGAAACTTCCATTTTGTTTACATCATAACCTTAATAGTTGGAAGCACAATTCAGTTCTCTGATGAAAGTGACTTTGCAGTAGACATGTCCAAAAAGGGTCTGACTCATGTTCCCAAAGACCTGCCACTAAAAACAAGAGTCTTAGATGTATCTCAAAACAACATCTCTGAACTCCAGGTCTCGGACATCCGCTTTCTGTCAGCACTGAGGATGTTGACCCTCTCCCATAACCGGCTCCAGCAAGTGGATTTCAGTGTCTTCAAGTTCAACAAGGACTTGGAATATCTGGATTTATCTCACAATCAGTTACGCAATCTGACGTGTCATCCTGTTGTGAATTTCAAGCATCTGGACCTCTCTTTCAATGACTTCGATGTCCCACCCATCTGTCAAGAATTTGGCAACTTGACACAACTGCATTTCTTGGGATTCAGTGCTGTGAAGCTACCACAATTAGATCTGCTGCCAATTGCTCACTTGTACCTAAACCACATCCTTCTGGATTTGAGACGCTATTATGGGAAAGCAAACAAGACAGACAGCCTTCCAATTCTGAATACAAAAAAGCTCCATCTGGTTTTTCGCCCAGATAGTTCATTCTCTGTCCAAATGAAAATATCAGTTAATACTTTAGAGTGCTTACAACTCACTAATATTAAATTGAATGATAAGAACTGTCAAATTTTGATTATGTTTTTATCACAACTCACCAGAGGTCCAGCCTTAATGAATTTTACCCTGAACCACATGGAAACAACCTGGAAATGCTTGGTTAGAGTTTTCCAATTCCTTTGGCCCAAACCTGTGGAATATCTCAATATTTATAACTTGACGATAGTTGAAAGAATTGGCAAAGAACACTTTACTTATTCTGAGACGACATTGAAAGCTTTGAAAATAGAACATGTTACCAACCAAGTTTTCATTTTTTCACAGACAGCATTATTTACGGTATTTTCAGAGATGAATATCAGGATGTTAACCATATCGGATACACCCTTTGTACACATGCTTTGTCCTCAGGCACCAAGCACTTTTCAGTTTTTGAACTTTACCCAGAATGTTTTTACAGATAGCATTTTCCAGAAATGTTCCACTTTAGTTAGATTGCAGACACTCATCTTACAAAAGAATGGACTGAAAGATCTTTCCAAAGTAGGCCTCATGACCAAGGATATGCCATCCCTGGAGACACTGGATGTTAGCAGAAATTCTTTGGGTTCTTACAGACATGAGGGCAACTGCACTTGGGTTGGGAGTATACAGGTGTTAAATTTGTCTTCAAATGCACTTACTGACTCTGTTTTCAGATGTTTGCCCCTCAAGGTCAAGGTACTTGATCTGCACAATAACAAGATAAAGAGCATTCCTGCACACATCATGAAGCTAGAAGCTTTGCAAGAGCTCAACGTGGCTTTCAACTCCTTGGTGGATCTTCCTGGATGTGGCACCTTCAGCAGTCTCTCTGTGCTGATCATCGAACATAATTCAGTGTCCCACCCATCCGCTCAGTTCTTCCAGAGCTGCCAGCAGATTACATCCATCAAAGCAGGAAGCAATCCATTCCTCTGTACATGCGAGCTCAGAGACTTCATCAAAAGCCTAGGCCAGCTGTCGAGTGAGGTGGTAGAGGGCTGGCCTGATTCATACAAGTGTGCCTACCCAGAAGATTATAAAGGAACCCCACTCAAGGACTTTCACTTGTCTGAATTATCCTGCAGCCCAGCTCTTCTGATGGCAACCATTGGGGCCACCTTGCTAGTGTTGGCTGTTTCCTTGACCTTCTTCTGCATTCACTTGGATGTGCCCTGGTATCTGAGGATGGTGTGTCAATGGACCCAGGCCAGGTACAGAGCAAGGCACATCCCGTTAGAGGAGCTCCAAAGAACTCTCGAGTTCCATGCTTTTATTTCATACAGTGAACATGATTCTGCCTGGGTGAAGAGTGAGTTAGTACCCAACCTAGAAAAGGCAGGTCTCCAACTTTGTCTTCATGAGAGAAACTTTGTTCCCGGCAAGAGCATTGTGGAGAACATCATAGACTGCATTGAGAAGAGTTACAAGTCCATCTTTGTTTTGTCTCCCCACTTTGTCCAGAGTGAGTGGTGCCATTACGAACTCTACTTTGCCCACCACAATCTCTTCCATGAAGGAGCCAATAACTTAATTCTGATCTTGCTGGAACCCATCCCACAGAATAGCCTTCCCAGCAAGTTTCATAAGCTGAGGGCCCTCATGACCCAGCGGACCTATTTGGAGTGGCCTGAAGAGAAGAGCAAGCATGGACTTTTTTGGGCTAACATTCGAGCTGCTTTCAATCCAAAATTAACATCGGTCACTGTCACCCAAAGCAGTGATGTGAGAACTTAAAAAACAAAGCCAGGAAGTTTGACTTTGGAAACTCTCATTCATTTGGGACTCTGATGGCCACTGTGGTGTTGCTGCTGCCTGGAGTTCTCTTCCACTATCCCCATGCCTCCAGCACATCTTTAGTGAAAGTCTTGATCAGTTGAGCTGGAGTGAGGGTGGCACCGAGAAACCAGTCTCATTGATTATTACAGTTCACATTGGTTATTGGGATCCTCTCTGGGGGGTTCTTCTTAGTCTCAGGGTAACCTTTGTCATTTTGTTCATTACTAGGGTTTGTGAAATAAGTTATACCAGTTACTAAATATAAAAAAGTATTTTAAAAACATATGTAAGGTAGTTTATTTAATATTTGACTTGCCACACAAATACATAATTAACCAGTGAGGACTCGTGCTATAATGATGTATGTAGAGTTATTCCCTAGATACTCGTGATGAACTTGTCCAAGACCCCCAAAATACCAAGTTCTGGAAAGGTTCAAGTCCTTTATGTAAAATGGCATAATATTTGCATGTAACCTATACATATCACCCAGTAAACTTTCAATCATCTCTAAATTTACTTATCATACCCTAATAGCCCTACAATAAATGCTACATACATAATTGTTATGCTGTATTGCTCAGGGAATAATGACGAGAGAAAAACCTATACATAAGCAATACAGACACAATTTTCTCCCCAAATATTTCCACTCTGTAGCTGGGTTAAATCCATGAATGTAGAAACTACAGACATGGAGGGCCAACCAGATATAAAGAAAGGGATAGCCTTAATTGATGATAAGGTGAAAGATATAGATGTGTCTGCTTGCCAAGGAAACCCAGAGCCACATATATATGGCATATTGAATGTGACTCTTGTGTCTTAGAATTTTAGTTAAAGTCTCAAAGCTGACAAAAAAGCAGTAAACGCTGTCAACATTTCAGAGATACTGGGCAAGCCAGACTGGACTCAGTGAAAGAGAAGAAAGAGACCAGTCACTATCAGTCATATTACTCAACTCTGGAAAACTATGTCCTCAGGGTAGCTTAGAGATGCAGTGAGTGGAGCGTCACTGAATGAAGTGGAGGTTGCTTTGGATTCCTTCTAGTGCCCCACTCCCAGACTGGAAGCTGAGTAGTAATAGGAGTGCCCAGGTTGGGTGCAGCAGATGGGAGGTGGGTGGTGGTGATGTGAGAGTTCTTGGAACACTTTGATGAATGTCCCCTGAAGTTGGGGGGCCATTGTGGGCGTAAGCACCAGTAAACACTGCTTGGCAAATATAGGTGCTTCATAAGTGTCTGTTGAATGAACAGACAGTTTTTCCTACCTGGAAAGTTCAAAGGGGAGAGATTGGTTGGACAGCTGCCCACAATGGCTGAATGAGAAAGTGGAAGCTGTGGCTGCAAGCTGCCTTTCCATTCATGGCATGACAAAAGTACCTGAATTTCCTGCATCAGTGTTGGCCATAGGAACGGTAACTAGGTTTGAGCTGACATGGTTGTCAGGACGCTAGGCTCAGGGGAGTGGTTCAAGGAAGCTTATTGGAAGGATATTGCTACTGGAGATAATGTGCCATTTGCATCAAGGAACTGTGTGATGGCGGGGTGGGTAGCCGGGAGAGAAGGAGGCTCACTCAAGGCCCCCTAGTCACCCACAAATGCATACTATGGAAGAGCCAGGATTTGGGTTCTGCCTTTACAGGGCACAAAGGCATGAGGGCCTGACTGTCTTCCCTAAATGTCAACCACAGGGAGATTTGCTTCCTTTACTTCGCGGAGGCCTGACCTCACCCAGCAAATACAGAAGACAGAGGAAGTGAAGAAATGGAGCCTGTTCCCTCCCTGCTCTTTCCTGCAGGAAAGGCCTGAGCTGGGTAGAGCAAGCTGGAATTTTGAATAGGGTGTGAAACTCTTCTTAAATTTTCATTCTGATACAGTCGTACAATAGCTAAAATGAGATATACATGGATATCTGTGGGTGCTACCTAAGACTTGGGGTGAGGAAGGAGATGAAATGGAACTTGGCTGGAAGGCAGTGATGAGAGGAGCAAAATAAAGGTCTTTCTTGCTGGACTTAGTTTATTCAATAGGGCAGTTTTGTAATTGCTAATTGTACGGGAACACGCCTGAATTTTCACAGTCAGTCACTTCTGGCTATGATAGCCCTTCCTTCTTCTCTATGAGAGTGAGCACCTGTGTTTTCCTAGGCCCTCTCCTAAACAGTAAATTGTTCTACAGCCTCTGTTGAATGGTTTCTTAAACTAAAACAATAACTATCCCAAAAAATAAACACCCAAAAAATAGTGACACGAATTTAAATTGATCACATAACTTTCAAACAGTATGGTAATATTGCCTACAGAATCTTGCACAAATTGAAAAGATAGAACTTTAATATTCTTTTTTTTAAAGATTTATTTTTATTATTTTTTAATTGGAAAGGCGGATATACAGAGAGGAGAGACAGAGAGGAAGATCTTCCATCCGATGATTCACTCCCCAAGTGGCCGCAACGGCCGATGCTATGCCAATCCGAAGCCAGGAGCCTCTTCCGGGTCTCCCACGCGGGTGTAGGGTCCCAAAGCCTTGGGCTGTCCTCGACTGCTCTCCCGGGCCACCGGCAGGGAGCTGGAAGGGAAGCGGTGCTGCCGGGATAGAACCGGCGCCCATATGGGATCCCGGGCATGCAAGGCGAGGACCTTAATCACTTGCGCCACCGCGCCGGGCCGAAACTTTAATATTCTTAAAAGAGAATTAAACAAAGCCTACAATTGGGTCACATGCAAGAACACATTTCAGAGAGATCCAAGTTGGGTCATAAGAGATTCCACTGTTGTTTTAGCTAAAGGCATTGGTTCTCCAGGGATTCTCTTTGTGGTCAAGTTCTTCTGGTTGTGAGCAGCGAATACCAGCTGGAGTGTGGGGACTTTTTATTCACAGGATACACGGATCTCTCTTGCACGGTCTTAAAGCAGGGATCCAGCTGATCTCCAAGAAAGTTTGAAAGCATCAATGATAAACAGCTCAGATGTTCTCTCCCTCTCTGATCTCTCCAGCCTGGACCAACCCACTGGTATGAGAGTAAGCCCAATAGAGTGAGCTTGCTTGCTCATGACTAGCATTGAGATAGGTGATATATGGCCCTGGTCCACCAGGTTTGCCATAGCATAATACCACACACTGGACAGGTTCAACATGAGAGATTTATTCCCTCATGATCCTGTGGGCTGCAAGTCCATGCTCAAGGCCTCAAGGTGTTTTCCCCTTGGCTTGCTGGTGGCCACCTTTTACACATGGTTCACACTGTGTCCCCTCATGGCCTTTCTTCTGGGCACACACATCCCTGATCCCAGTTACATGGGATTAGGACCCCATCACTATGACAATCTAACTGTATGGCATTAGAGTACCTCTCTCCAACTATGGTCACATTCTGGAATTCTAGGGCTTAGGGCTTTAACATGTGAATCTGAAGGGATCACAACTGAGTCCACACAGATGACTATGCAGATAAATTGAGAAGTGTTGTGACAGGGGTTATTAGCTGTTGTCAATACCCATTCTTCCCTTACTTACCAGTAGGAGGCTTGAATTTTATCAGGGCACCTGATAACTCAGCTAAAGACCGTGTGTCCTAGCCATTTGTACAGCTCCATGTGGAAGTGTAACTAACTCTTGGCCATATGGGATGATGAGGCATGAAGGCCCCTGCCAGATGAAGGGCCCCTTGAACTCTGGGACTGCAAAAAAAAAAAATGAAGCTAGTTGTCTATAAATTACCCAGTCTGTGGCATTATTTCATACACTGACAGTCTCCTGTGTGTCCCATCTGTACCGCTGAGGGAACCTTCCACCTGATCTCTATCTTTCACTCATGGCTGATGCAATCTCCAAAAGGCAGAGTGGCTTTCAATTGTAAATTGTATTAGACAACGGCCCTGCTTCAAACTCCATGATGGCCTCGCTTTACAGTTGGAACTAATCAGGCTCCTTGTGTCTCCTGAACTCACCACTCTCCAGCTGTAATTGCCTTCTGGTAGTGCCCCTGAACAGTCCACAGCAATCTCACTTCTGCACCAGGCACAGGCTACTCCCTCCACTGAGCTGCATCTTTCTGATATACATGCATAGATTGTTCTGACCTTTCACCTCCCTACTCCAGCATCACCTCTCCAGAGGGCTTCCCTCTGTCACTCATCTAAAGCAGTCTTCCCCCAATCACTGGCACAGTGGTGAGAATGCAAATTAGATTCTTTAATAAGATGACAGGTTAGAAGGAATAGGACATGGCAAAGAGGAGATTTTTAAAAAGCTTACATTTTGTCATATTTATTTGAAAGGCAGAGAAAATTAGTGTGTGTGTGTGTGTGTGTGTGTGTGAGAGAGAGAGAGAGAGAGAGAGGGAGGGAGAGAGAGATCCTATCTTCTGGTTCATGTCCCAACATGAGCAGCACCAGCTGGTGGTGCAAAGCTAAGAGTCAGAAATTAAGCCCTGGTTGACACAGACTCAAGTACCTGGCTCATCACCTGCTGCCTCCCAGGGAACATGGTAACAGGAAGCTGGAATTAGGAGCTGAGCTGAACAGCGATACAACATGACACACGGGTGTCCCACGTGGCATCTCTGCTGCTCTGCCAAATGCCTGTCCTCAAAGATGAGCTTTGATGAAGAACAGGTGTCAACTTGTTTGGGTTCTCTAAAGAAGTGATGTGAATCGAGTGTCTTACCATCAAGAGAAATGTATAACTCTTCTGGAAATTCAAGATCAAAGAGCAGCGAGGACACAGGAAGTCTATCCATGTAGGATGTCCTGACATAGAAGGGACGGAGGGAGGTTTCTGGAGACTCTTTTTAAAGGACACTGATTCTATTCATAAACATGCTCATGACCTAATCAAGTTCTTACACTATCACCCTAGGGGTTAGGAATTCAGCACGTGAGGAGTGGGTCATGTACGCATTGAGACTCAATGAAAGAGGTGCGAGACTTGGGTGGGTCACAGGGCACGATGCTAGGACCAGCCCTGGTGAAAAGTCTTTGGCCAGTCTCAGGCAGCATGAAAGTTCTGGGCATGTGGCTGGGAAGAGCCTGCAAAGGAGAGGGCACAGTGTGGACCAGGTTAGGAGTAAACTTCTTACCATGAGCAAAAAGTAGCATCAGACTGGCACCTTGGCTGGAATGATTGATTAGATTTTTAGGGCTGTTACAACAAATCACCATTGTCTGAGTGGCTTCCAGCAACAGAAATGGATTTGTTACTGTTCAAGAGCCTAGACCGAGGGCCCAGTGCAACAGCATAGTGGTTAAGGTCCTTACCTTGCTCGCCCGGGATCCCATATGGGCACCAGTTCTAATCACTATTCCCATCCAGCTCCCTGCCTGTGGCCTGGGAAAGCAGTCAAGGACGGTCCAAAGTCTTGGGACCCTGTACCTGCATGGGAAACCTGGAAGAGCTCTTGGCTCCTGGCTTCAGGTTGGCACAGCTCCAGCCATTGTAGTCACTTGGGGAGTGAACCACTGGATGGAAGATCTTCCTCTCTGTCTCTCCTCCTCTCTGTATATCTGCCTTTCAATAAAAATACATAAAACTTAAAAAAAAAAAAAGAGCCTAGACCTCAAAAATCAAGCTGTCTGCAGAGTTTGTTCCTTCCAGAAGCTCTAAGGATCTGCGCATGCCTCTATCCTGTCTCAGGCGGGTGCTGGCCATCATCGGCTTCACTTGCCTTATAGATGTCTCGTTTATACTTCCACGCTCACATTCTGTTCTGTTTCTCTGTGTTTTCTCTTGTTTTTTTCTCTTAATTTATTCTTATTGGAAAGTCAGTGGCTGCAACAGCTGGAGCTAGTCTGATCTGAAGCCAGGCTCTTCCACACAGGTGCAGGAACCCAAAGTTTTAGGCCATCCTCTATTGCTTTTCCAAGCTACAAGCAGAGATGAGAGGTGGAGCAGCTGGGACACAAACTGCATCCATATGGGATTCTGGTGCATGCAAGGTTAGGATTTAGCCACTGAGCCATTATGCTGGGCTCCTTTTTTGTCTTTTCTAAGGATATCCTTACTGGATTCAGGTGCCTTCTTAATCAGCAGATCTCTTCCTGGCATGTCTTCTTATTCTATTAGCAGGAGACTCCATTCTCAAAAATGTCAAGTGGAAGTGGATTTTGGAGGAGTGGGTAGAAGATCCTATTGACACCACTGCCTGAATGGATGTGACACCTCTGATGGCCTGGACACTCAACTGGGTGAGGCAGCCAAATAAAGCTCTCTTAAGGGAGAGGGAAGAGTTGGAAATAAGCTGGGGTACACTGATAAAGAGGTGAAGAGAATAGAGCAGGTGGCTGTGAGAGAACAGGAAAGAGACGGGGTGGGGGCAGGGATGAAGGCCTGGGATACCAATAGAGGGTGTGTATATCATAAAGAGAATTAGTAACCCACAGAAACAGCACTGGGAAAGGAGGAAGTATTTCTGCACTTGATTTGTTTAGAAAAGAAGAAGAATGAGCTACAGGGAGCCAGAGGGGTTGGGGGATTTCT